GGCCCTAGTGACCATGGGGGTCGCACGCAGGGCATGATGGGTGGTGGACCAAGTCAGGGTCCTAGTGGAAATGGTGGTTGCCGGTGGGTCAGGTGGTGCACCTGGCGGAGGCCCTGGTTGGCCTGGAGGTCCCGCCGGTGGACCAAATGGTGGCGCTGGCGCGATTGGCGTCGGCGGCGGCGGCGGCTGTGGCGGCGGCTTCGGCGGCGCTGGCGGCTGCGGCGGCGGCTTTGGCTTCGGCCCTGGCGGCCCTGGAGGCCCAGGAGGCCCTGGCGGTGGCGGACCTGGCGGCTAACCAGGTGGCTTTGGTGTTGGCGGTCCATGCATGGGACCATGTGGTGGCTGGCCATGGAGGGGCATGGTGATGAGAACATAAGGACTGTCACTTTGCCGGCCTTGCCGGATTTGAAAGAGGGCGAGATTGGCCCGTTGGCTGCAGGGGATTGGATCACTTTGATCACTCCTCTGATGAAGGATTTGTCGGCGACTTCAAGCGCCTGGTGGGAAGTGGTTTTGACTGAGGCGGTCGGGTGCTATGATCGGTGGTTGAGGTCGGACCCAATGACAAAGCTGAACCTGATGCCGCGGTTGCCTGTGGCATGTCAGCAGCAGCCTTGGTTGAGGCTGGAACAAAGGGCACAAGCTATGTTGATGGAGGCTTTGCCTGAAAGCCTGAAGATGGAAATCCTCACTACGAGGGCTACAAGCTCGGTGCAGGTGATCTTCAAGGTCTTGGTGCGCTACCAGCCTGGTGGGCTGGGTGAACGGGCACACCTGTTGAAGCAGTTGGTTGAAGTGCGGGTGCCTACATCGGTTGGTGAGATGGTCACGCAGCTGCAGATGTGGCGCCGATGGCTTCGCAGAGCTCAAGAGCTCAGGGTGAACGTCCCTGATGCGACTCTGCTGATGGGGGCTTTGGACAAACTGTCCCAGCCTCGTGGAAAAGTGGCCACTCAATCGGCCTTTCGGCTCAGTGCGATTCGAGCCAACTGGATGCATGGTGGATGTCAAGCCAACGCTGGAGGGAGTGATCGGCTTCGCGGAGGCGCTCCTTGCGGAGGGTGAGACGGCATTCCACAGTGGAGTGGAGAAAAATGGTGGTCCAAGGATCAATAGCTCCTGGTGTGGGCTCTGGCGGTGTAGCTGGGGGTGCCAATGGAGTGGTCAACGGCCGTGGTGATGGACCTGGAGCTGCGAAGAAGGAGTGGACTCGGCAAAAGGAGACCACTGATGATGGAAAAGGTCAGGCATCCTCTAAGGGGATTTGCCGCTACTTCCAGTCCGAGGATGGCTGCTGGCGTGGAGCTTCATGCCACTTCGTTTACGACCTGGAGGGGAAAAAGGGAAGGCGCTGGAAGTGTGGATCTTCCAAGCACATGAAGAAATGAAGAAGGATTGCAAGGTGCAGTCAGTGGAAAAAGATGGGGGTCCGCTGAAGTTGGATGGTAAGCCTGAGGTGCGGTCGGCCACCAAGTCCAAGCCAGCGGATGGGCCAGTTTTGGAGGAGAAGCCGGCGGAGGGTGCTAAGGACTCTGGAAAGCCGGGTGAAAAGGGCGAGGTCGGTGGGATCTTGTCTGAGGCTATGGGCCTGTTGAAGACCTCGCAGCTGCCAGCAATTAAGGCTTTGCAGCTGGAGGAGAAGGGTGACGATGTGAAGATCTCATCCTTTGAGGTGCAAGAAAAGAAGGGTGAGGATGTCAAGGCCTCGACCTGTGAAGTGAAGGGTGACGATGTGAAGATCTCATCCCTTGAAGTGAATGAAGAAAAGGGTGAGGATGTCAAGGCCTCGACCTGCAAAATGAAGGGTGAGGATGTCAAGATCTCAGCCCTTGGAGTACAAGATCGTCGAGCTCTTCTTGACGGTGGGGCGACTCACTGCTTGAGACAAGCAGCCGACGAGGCTGAATGGAAATCAGGCATTGAGGTCGAAGTGGCCCTTGCTTCAGGGACTGCTATGCTCTGTCAGGCAGATTCCTTGGACGAAGACCCTGGCCAGTTTGGCCGTGCTGCGGGGTGGTGAAGGCCCTGGGATAGCAGCTACGTCAAAGACCACGGTGGAGTGGTTGCAAAGGCTTCGAAAGCTCTTCCCGGAGGTGCCGGTTGAGCTGCTGGAGCGAGTGCTGCCGGACGATCAGTTTGATCCGGAGTTGCTGCCGTCGAATCGGCGTGTCAGAAGGCGGCTAAAAAAGGCCGATGAGATCATTCTCCACTTGTTCAGTGGTCCGGATGAGAGGGCCTGGAAGGAACTGGAAACCAAAGATCGAAGAGTCCTAATGTGTGGACATGGAGTTGCATAGGGGGCAGAATCTACTGGCCAAACACGTGGCTGCCTACATCCTGCACCTCTGCCTCTCTGGAAAAGTAAGGATGATTTTGGCGGGTCCGCCATGCAGAACGGTCTCAAGACTCAGGCACACACAGCCAGGACCACCGCCATTGAGGACACGCTTTGGCGCCACAAGGTTTGGAAGGGACAACCTGTCGGACCAGTTGCGGTCGATGGTGGCGGATGACACGGTGCTGTTCCTGAGGGCTTTGACCTACTATGTGGTCGCCGAGGAGAGTGCGATTGAAAGGCCAAAAAGGGGGCCAGCTGTGGGATATGCGGTGGAAAGTCCACAAGACCCTGAATCCTACGCTCCTGAGGAGGAGGAGTGTCCAAGCTTCTGGGCATTCCCGGAGTGGAAGGCCTTCGCCGAAGCTTTCGAGATGATGTTGATCAGCTTTGATCAGGGGCCTATGGGCCATCAAAGACGCAAGCCTACCAGTATTGGTACAAATCTGGTGGCGAAGCAGTTGGAGGAGGTGAGGGGCCCTGGGCGATCCTACGGTCTTGGCACCACCTTGGAGCAGCGGCTAAAAGACTCAAAAAAGTGGGCGGAATGTGCGCCAGGTCTGAAGAAAGCACTCCTGGCTGCGGTGGAGATGTTCCTCAAGAGTCGGCGAGCGGCAAGGCTCACCATGCAGGGACCAGTGGGAAGCTCATTTGAAGACTGACCACCAACCATTCCGAAAGGAATGTCGCACCTGCCTTGAAACGGCTGGCAGGCAGCGGATGCACAAGCGGGTGACGAGCTTTGACCTCGGTGGACCTTTTGAGGTTGGGAGGGATCAAGGTGGAAACTACGGTGGAAAGGCCCGCTACATGGTTGTGGGTGTCTACACTCTGCCAATCGCCCCAGAAGGTGATGCTTTGCTCAAACCCGCGGATGAGGGCGAGCGGCGGGAGGTGGAGGGTGAGTTGTTGCCGGTTGATCAGGCAGCGGATGGGGCTGGGGAAGACGCCAGAGAAGAGCGGCCAGCTGATGGGGATGATGCCGGGCGCTGGACGGAGCGCATCGAGCGTGAAGAGGGCGTCAAGATTCGCCAGTTGACCTTCGTTGGCAGGCCACGGTGGCCTTGAGCACGGCAGAGGCCGAGCTGACAGGTGAGGTGGAGGCGCTGGTTGCTGGGAGAGCATGCCGTGCGCTGGTTGAGCTGTTTGAGGGACTATATGGTTGGGGTCATCTACAACGACAACATCGCAGCGTTGTCGATTGCCACTGGGAGGAGTGGGTCATGGAGGACGCGCCACTTGCGCATCCGGGCCAACGCCTTGACGGAGGCGGTGGAAAAGAAGGAGTGGATGCTAAGGCATCTGGATGGGGGCTACTTGGTGGCGGACGGGCTCACCAAGCAGTTGGCCGGAACCTTGCATGAGCGGCTCATCAAGGAGCTCTTGCTCAGGGATGGCAGGGAGGCTGCAGTGAAGAAGATGTGTTTGAAGCGGCTCAATCCGGATGTCCATGATCGGATTGTGAAGGGCCGCTGTGGCACCCCAGGGTGTCGCTGACACGGACGAGGCCAAGGGTGATGACGATGGCAGGAGCCGTTTGATCCTGATCGTGGTTTTGGTCCTCATAGCAGGCTACATCATTGGCGATGCCATCAAGCGGTATGGGCTTGCGGCTCTCCGGAGGATGTTGGGCACCGAGGACACTGTGAAGGTGAAACTGCTCCGCGAGGAGGCTTTGGTGCCGGCACGAGGCACGCTAGGGTCAGCAGGATGGGACCTGCGTGCAGTCGATGGTATGACTGTGGTTGGTGGGCACTGGACTGGCGATGGAGTTGCCAGTGGGCACCTATGGGCGCCTGACCTCAAGATCCAGCACGATGGTGAAGGGGATGAATGTTGGGCCTGGAGTCGTGGACCGCGACTTCAGGGGCGAGATCAAAGTGTTGGTCATGAATGGCTCTGACCAGCCATATGTCATCAACCCGGGCGACAGGGTTGCGCAGATGGTCATCGAGAAGGTCTATGAGGGTGAGCTCAAGACTGTCAAGGATGTGGGAGAGTCCCACCGTGGCAGTGGAGGGTTTGGCTCCACTGGAGTGAGGTCACTCCGACTGACAGGAGGTGGCGGATCGTCATGTGCTCGGGGAGAGCGGGGTCGAAGCCAGGAGCCGCCTACGACAGGGGTGAGGCTGAGATCAAGGGAGAGGTCAAGAACCAGGACCTTTCCAAGAGAGGCATCGCCAGAGGAGGTGAATGTGACTTACCATGATGATGGTAGCGCCTCAACACAGCGGGTGACTGGGGAGAAGGTGTACTTCAGGGCTCCCGCAATGCACACCACTTCGGTGAGGCGGCCTCCGGTGACTACCAGCCAGGAGATGGTGGAAGTTGAGGTCGAAGAAGAGCAGGAATTAAGTGGAGGCGCAGCCAACTACTTCTGGTTTGGCTCGGGTGCGATGGCACGGCGGGTGGAAGGAGCGCAGGTGTTCCATGTGCGCCGTGATTGCTCAGCCATCCGGCACTCCAAAATGGTTCTGGTTGGAGATCCAGAAGTGGTCGGCCTGTTGGGGCCGAAATGATATGGACACCGCAAATGAGATTGTGGTCGCCGACGGCACCGGGCATCGGCGGGATTTGCCGCGCCGCACCGGGTGGATGGAGGACGAACTCTCCGCCCGTGTGAGCGGCGCAGATGAAGGGGCTTGGGCCTGGAAGGCTCGTTTTTGGGCGCTAAAGCCTCCAAAAAGGGGGAGCGCTTGAGACCATTTGCACATGTGGTCTTGGAAGTTTGATAGGAAACTTGAAAACACTTGGGCATGAACCGAAGCCCTTTTGAAGCCAGGAAAAAGCGTGGCGGTGTAGTCACGTGCGAACTCGTGATATGTATATGTATGCATGTGTTGCGTAAACAAAAGTGTGGGGTGTGTCATGTTGGGTATGACGTGCTAATCAGCTAATCATTCCGTTGCATCAGGTCCAGATGCACAAGCCATGTTTATAACAATTTATAATATATATATATATTACAGTAAATTGTATATATAGGGAGGAATGAGGAAAGCACACAATTTCTATTTTAACATGCAGAGTGCGTGGAGAAAGGCATACTCTATACTGAAAAGAGTAGATGTATGCATGGACAGCTCCACGCAGCCTTGGTATCACATCCAACATCCTCCAGTTGGCCTCGGGCAACATGTCTTCTCCCACTTGTGCTTCTTCATGCCTACAGGACGGCGGGTGGACACAAAGCTTAGGGCTGTCGCTGGGGCTCTCCAGCCAGAAAGGCCGAAAACGCAGATCCTTAAGGGATGCTGAAGCCAAGATGGAGCCAACGGAGCCAGCAGGTCCATGGCCGAGCACAACCATCCAGGAGGTTAGCCGTAGCCTCTTGCCGAAGGAATGACCAATACTGTAAATGATTCATTTGATTTTTTCTTATTTTTCCAACTTGAACCTCCAGATGACTCTAGTCAGAGGTCACAAATAGTACCATAAGACTTCCGTTTGCCGTGTTCTTGTAGCATGGCTAGGTAGCAAACAATTAGCGTCTCAAACTGTAGAATACATGTCAGCATAGCCTTTCGGGAACTGAGCAGCAGAACCTTCGAAGTTTTTGACACCTGTTTGCTCTAAGGAGGTTCTGTTAGTCCTCAAAGTCAATTGCCGAACACCAGAGATCTTTAATGCATACAGTGAGCTGGCCAGGTCATAAAGTGATTGGCGCAAACACGTGAACGGAGTTAAGAACATGTCAGTTCACAGCCTACTGCAACCTTTCAGACCTGGTCAAATCAAAGTCCCACATCTGTTCACGCGCCAGCACTTTAGTCCAGTAGCTCCCAAGTTTTCAACGGTAGGAGCAACAGCTATGTTGGTTTTCCAGCTGGAGCTCTTGACTGATTAGGGTCCGAGGGCCCTGCACTCTTTAACCGAACCTTTTGCCGCAAAATTATGTTTGTTCTGTTTGTTCTGGTTCAACAAGACTTTCAACAAGACAGTGACTTGATGACTTGACAGTGACAGTTCGACCTCGTGCCTGGCAGCACTTTCGACCTGCGGACCGCATGTTCGGGTGGCTAGTCGAGAAGCTCGAAGGCTGTCATGTGGCCTCAAGGAAAGAGCCAAACACGCGTGAAGCATGAAAAACGCGCAATGGATTGTTCAAGGCCTATTCAGGGGCTAGTCTTCTCATTTTGCTTTGAATGCCGGTTGCCACTGTTTTCTTGGTGGGTCCCTACAAACCCATCAGCTCCTAGCTAAACCGCACTCTCTCGACAATGTGGCCAGTAGGATCACAAAGCAGGAACTTGTGGCCCCCATCGATACTTGTTGGCGCAGAGGATCCCACGCGAGCGACAGTGAGAACACGTTCCTGTAGCCCAACCAATGCGGTTGATGCGTCGTGGCAGCACTTGTTCAGCCTCAAGAGCATTTGATCGCTCTAAGACTTCAAAATACTTTAAACTTTAAACGTAGAGGCTTTCTTTAAGTCTTTATTCTAATTTTAATGTCAGAGTCATAGCCATAATGTCATACTTTGTTTGAGGACTGCTGTACGGACTGTTTTCCATGAAGGGTTTCAGATTTGTCATCCACATATGATGGGCAAACTTCTCGGGGGTGACAAAACGAATTCAAAGCGGCAGAGTGATCATGGATTCCAAGTATGTTGCATGACACGGTACATATTGGACATGCGTAATATGCCTGGAAAAGCGTGGCATCTTCGCGAAGTGATAATTGATCGCTTAAAAGCTTTTGAAACACGTGTTGGTGTGGCTGAGGACAAACTGTGACGAAGAATGAAGTGTATCCTGGAGGGAGCACAACTTGGACAGTCGGACAGTTTCACACCGATATGAAGTTAGCGGCTTTCTAGGCCGACGTTTGGGTAGGCCTTGTTGATGCAAGAAACAGGTTTCTCTAGTTCTGGAATTCTGGAAGCAGAATCAGACAGATCCGTTCTGCTTGAAAATTGCTGAGCAGCGCATGTGAGATGAACTGCATTCAATTTCACACTTAGGTGAAGTGAACATGTTGAAACAAGAGAAGCAGGAAGGAAAGAGATTTGGTGACCTTTCACGTCCTATGTCAGTGAAAGAGCCTGGACCAAATTGAACCAGCTCATCCGACAAATGTTATGTATATACACTGAATATACTATAGTGACGGGCAAGTATATACTTAAAGCCAAACTTGGCAAAATGGAATACATTCTTTTCACAGGGAAACTGGTTCTAAGTGCATACACATAGAACCAAAACACTCTACTTAGAAACCACCAAAGCACTGAACATAATCAAAGTGAGGAATACGCAGAACTACAAATTTCTCAGGTTGTGCGCATGTTGTCTGTGGTGCAGTGTATTTGCGGTAGATCAAACCCGAGTCCTTTATTCCCCAGTTCTAGTTCTTGATCCTTATCACATGTGTTTTTATGGAAGGGACACACGCATACTTGTGAACCTGACTACTGTATAATGGCCTTTACTGGTTCTGAGTATATAATGGGTATCGTTATTATATGTTATTATAATTTATCTTGCTCCAAGATTGACCTCGCCTAAGTAAGCGGTCCCGATCGTTTGAAGAAAATCAGCAGGTTCTGAGTATGTGTCCGTCACTACATACTTATAGAGTGCTTTTGTCAGGCTTGGAAACAGCCGATGGAGAATCTATGAGAATCCGAGCCAATGTGGATGGAACATGCTGTTGGGGAACGACAAAATAGCCAATGCATGCAGGAGGTTGTCCCAATTGTGCACGAAGAACTACAGTACAATTTAACCATACATTATTCAATTTCTTTAGTTATCACACGTCAACTTCCTAAACATCAACATAATGTTGGGTCCTAGCCCCAGCTTTATAAATTTTTGACGATAGGGCCCAAGAGGGTTTGACGTATTTCGTTCAGTCATCCCAACTATTTCCCGAAACCAACGTTCACACTTGGGAGGGAGGGAGGGAGGGAGGGATGGCTTCCAGCCGACGGGGTTGAATAATCTGTCCATCTACGGCATGTCTTCTACAACTTCTGCAAGGCTACACTGCAAGGTAGAGGTCTCAAAGGTTTTACCTTCAAGAGACTGCCCTTGCAAATGATGCACAAGGATCAACCATCCCTTGTGGTACGAAGCTTTGGTTGGGCCACACAGGCTTTGAGCGATAGCTTTTTTTTCATTGTGGTTCGGGCACAGTCAGTATGCATAGCATGTCTCGCCCGTGTCAGCCAGAACTTGTGTGAGCTTGGCGAATTGAAAAGCACCGAGCAACGACCCAAAGGGTCTGTGCACAAATCTTTATGTGAGAGGAACATAGAGGAACTATTTCATTGTGCGAGTCAGTCCGCACAAAACAAGAAGTGTACCAAGCACTCTTGAAGGCCCCTTCGAAACTTTCGAAACCAGCCATTAACTTGGCGACGTTTGGCTCAAGAAAGAAAGGTCCGAGTGAATTGCACTCACATGGGTTATGAGCCCAAACCCGGACCTCTGCAGTCCACCCAGTCGAGGACTGGTCGATGGCCGCCATGGATCGTCGCCGTGCGGCATCCAAGGCGCGAAGGAGCGCCGATGAGCAGCTGGACGAGATGCTGGCAGAGCATCGAGCGAGGTCAGCACCACCTCGAAGAGCACAGTCTTTGTGTCAAACAGATGGTGGGTGAGGGAAGGTCCTCATCGAACGCCTCTTTCAAGTCCGTTCCAGAGGGCTCAGGTGTTGGTGTACAACCTGGTGATGGTGGCAGTGGGCAACCCGCTGGACAAGGACATCATCTTCAAGGTGGTCAAGGATCGGGCGCTGGCACGCAACCTATGTCGTCTTCGGTGACTTCGGGGACTACGAATGGTCAGAACCCTGGCATGCAAGCAGCCGGGACTATGACGAATGGTCAACATCCTAGCATGCAAGGAGCTGGGATGGGGACGATGGGAATTGGACCTACAGGACCATGCTTTCCTTGCCCCTACCCTGCTGGGATGGGATCAGGGGGTGGAGGTGGTGGAGCTGCTGGACCTCCTCATGGTGGTGGCCCTGGCAGTGGTGCTGTTCCTGGAGGTGCCGGAATATATGGGCTGGTGGCTCCGAAGAGTGCATGAACGAAAGCCTTCGCAACGTGGAGTTGCCGGCCAACTTGTTGACCTTCGGCGACTGGCTGGTGACCATAGAGCCACTAGTGTCAGATGTGAGCTCTTCGGCAGGAGACTGGTGGGCAGCAACAATAAAAGGGGTCGAGGAGCACTATGCGGTGTGGTTGTCCTCGGAACCTCTTCAACGGCTCAGGCTGGATCCAGGAACCTCTACGGCGGCAACCAAGTGGCCGAGGACGGAGAGGAGAATGACCAGTTTGCTGCTGCAGGCGGTGCCTGAAGTGATTCGGCCGGAAGCAGTGGCGGCGAGGAAGTTGAGTGCTTCGCATCTGCTGTTTACGTTGTTTGTGAGGTTTCAACCTGGAGGCCAAAGCGAAAGGATGAACCTCATCCGTTATCTGACGGACCTGAAGACTTCTGGAACAATGGCGGAAGTCGCTTCAAACCTGAGGCAATGGCGTCGGTGGTGGAACAGGGCACACGAGCTGGCGGTGATGTTGCCGGACCCGGTGATTCTCGCGGGCGTCCTGACCAAGACCTCGGACTACATCGCCAAGACGGGCGCTCAAGCGGCATACAGGCTTGCTGTGCGCCATCAACAGTTGAACATTGACACCCGACCTACGACGGACGCGATCAAGACCTTTGCGGAGCTGTTGCAGGCCGAGAGTGAAGAGTTGGCTCATGGTGCAGGAACTACGAAAACGGCTCCTGCTGTGAAATGTATGACCTTGACTTCAACGACGGCAACCACAACTACGAATGGTGGAGGTGGGCCGGAGGCCAAGGGTGGTGCTGGAGAAGGCCGGCACGATAGTCGTTTTTGGTTGAGTGAAAAGGGATGTCGCAGGGGTGATCGCTGCAAGTTCAAGCACTCCCTGTTGAACCCCAAGCACAACAGATGCTTTCATTGCTCAGGTCTCAACCACACTCGTAAAGACTGTCCTCACATCGTCAAAACCAAGGAGGTGAATGAGGAGAGCGCGAAGGTGGCCTGAGTTGGGTGGCTTGGTTGGACAGGCCGCAGCGTTGTTGAAGTCGCTGCACTCCGTGACGTGGAAGGCGATCAACGTGAGGTCGCTGGACATGGGCACTGGGGCGGCGTTGAGTGAGTCTCTGGGTCTCCTAGACGGGGGAGCTACGCATCCTTTGAGAATGGCTCTGGACGGGGAGATCGAGAAGGCGGAGTTAGTGACGGTGGAACTGGCGCATGGTCAGATCCAGCTGCATCAGGATCCGACAACGGGAACTCTCCTGTCGCAGCAGCCGGTGGAACCTATAGTCCCGGTTCGGGGGCTGGTGGATCTGGGCTACAAGATGACATGGTCCAGGTCTGGTTGTACTGTTGAACACCCGAGAAGGGGAAAGATCGTGTCGCACCTTCGGGATGGATGCCGTGTGGTTCCGGAGAAGGATGCCCTGTTGCTCATTCATGAGATTGAGGCCGCGGAGCATCGCAAATATCTGGACATCGAGCAGGAGGACAACCTGGACCCCGAGGTGATGAGTTGGTGGGAACATCGGTTTCCTGAGGTGCCTCGACGAATCTTCAGGTACATGGCGGAAGAGCACGACCTGACCAAGGGGACGTTGCCATGGAACCGCAGGACTCGGAGAAGGTTGTGTTGAGGGCGAAAAAGGTGATCCTG